GGCGTTGGCTGCACGTAACTCGCCGGCGAATGGCGGAAGCCTTGCGTTCTGACTACGGCGGCGCATGCGCAATTACTAACGTGGCTATAATTAGAAATCACTAAAGTTATAAATATTAGTTGCGTATATTATTGCATAAATTGTGGTCACCTATCTCTAACAGTGACAGGTTGAATTTCTAACCACGACAGTTCAAAATCCGGTATCACAACAAACATATCCTGAAAATTTCAGCTAAATCGGTTCAGTAGTTTCCGAGTCTATAGGGGTGAAACAAACACACAAACATTGATTTTTATATATATATATAGATACAGAGACAGATGCTCAGAGACAGATACACAGGGGCAGATATACAGAGACATATATACAGAGACAGATACACAGAGACAGATATACAGGGACAGATATACAGAGACAGATATTTAGAGACAGATATACAGATAAACAGAAACTATTACACAGAGGCAGATATACAAAGACAGATATACAGAGACAGATACTCAGAGACAGATACACAGAGACATATACACAGAGACAGATATACAGAGACATACTCAGAAACAGATACACAGAGACATATACATAGAGACATATACACAGAGACAGACACAGATACACAGAGACAGATATACAGAGACAGATACACAGAGACAGATATAAAGAGACAGATGCACATAGAGAGTTATACAGAGACAGATTCACAGAGACAGATACTCAGAGACAGATACACAGAGACAAATAATCAGAAACAGATATACAGAGGCAGATACTCAGATACATATATACAGAGACAGATACTCAGAGACAGATACTCAGAGACAGATATACAGAGACATAGACACGGAAACAGATATACAGAGACAGATAAACAGAGACACAGAGACAGATACACAGAGACAGATACACAGAGACAGATACCCATGGACAGATACACATAAACAGATACTCAGAGACATATACTTAGTGACAGATACTTAGTGACAGATATACAGAGACAGATACTCAGAGACAGATACTCAGAGACAGATATACAGAGACAGATATACAGAGACAGATATACAGAGACAGATATACAGAGACAGATATACAGAGACAGATATTCAGGGACAGATATACAGAGACAGATACACAGAGACATATATACAGAGACATAAATACTGAGACAGATACACAGAGATAGATACTCGGAGACAGATATTCAGAGACAGATACACAGAGACAAATATACAGAGACAGACACACAGAGACAGATACTCAGAGACAGATACACAGATACAGATACACAGAGACAGATACTCAGAGACAGATACTCAGAGACAGATACTCAGAGACAGATATACAGAGACAGATACACAGAGACAGATACTCAGAGACAGATATACAGAGACAGATACACAGAGACAGATATACAGAGACAGATACTCAGAGACAGATATACAGAGACAGATACACAGAGACAGATACACAGAGACAGATACACAGAGACAGATACTTAGAGATAGATACACAGAAACAGATTTACAGAGACAGATATACAGAGACAGATACACAGAGACAAATAAACAGAGACAGATACACAGAGACAGATACTCAGAGACAGATATACAGAGACATATACACAGAGACAGATACACAGAGACAGATACTTAGAGATACATACACAGAAACATATATACAGAGACAGATATACAGAGACAGATACACAGAGACAGATAAACAGAGACAGATACACAGAGAAAGATACTCAGAGACAGATATACAGAGACAGATACAGAGAGACATACAGAGACATATACTCAGAGACAGATACACAGACAGATATACTGAGACAGATACCCAGAGACAGATATACAGAGACAGATATACAGAGACAGATATACAGAGACAGATACTCAGAGACAGATATACAGAGACAGATATGCAGAGACAGATACTCAGAGACAGATATACAGAGACAGATACACAGACAGATATACATAATGAGGTACACGGGGGGGGGGGCAGAGAGAGAGTGATAGAGCAGTAGTGACTCGTGCATAGACACTGCGCAACCGCAGCACCCCCTACTATCCCCGGATATTAACGCTAACCTGGGCTTTTTTTTTTTTTTGCGTTACACAGTACTGGCACCATTTAGGCCTCGCTTAATTGGACTCTTCTGTCATAGACACTTTGTTTTGAGAACTATAATTTTTTTTTCTTTTTTTTTTATAAAAAGAAAGCGCTGACGACAAAATTCAGTATAATATATATTGTTTCTGGCAAAGCCAATCGAACAAGAACAACAGGACTGACCAATCGAACAATAACAACAGGACTGACCAAATGAACAAGAACAACAGGACCACAAAGCGACCTACACATTTAAGAGTGGACAATTTATCCGGATACGGACACTGGACCATCAACACAGGCACAAATACACTAATATCAGCCGAAACATTTAGCACAAATACAGAAGACCACAAATACAACCGACAGCAGCCAGCAGCGAGTTGAACGTGGTTGTATATCTGTCCCTGTATATCTGTCTCTGTGTACCTTAATGTTTCTAAAATAGACCTGGACCGTTGACTCTGTCTTCCCACTTATGCACTATACAATTCTTCAGCTTGCGCCAACATATCTGAGATAAAGCTCCGGCTAATGTAGACGTTTCACTGTCGTGAACGTAGTGCCGACGCTGTTTTATCATTGTTTTCCAGCAAAGTCAAACACGAAGAAGGGATTTCTTGTGATAAATGAATGGATCAATCTGCAACTGTGATAGTTTAGGCTGTTGGCAATTAAAAATAGTTTTGTTTGGCATTTTGCCAAGTTTGTATAATAATTGTCCTTCTATGCTTGTTTCATATTAAACAATATTAAAGCAATGATTAAATCATTTTGAGAATCAGCCCCCCCCCCCTTCCCCACCCCATCCCTTCCCACCCCGCGATTTGTAGCTACTAACCGTAACTGAGAGAGACAGACAGAGAGAGAGAGAGAGAGAGGGGGGGGAAAGAAAAGAAAGAGGGAGAGAATATCTGAGAGACACATGGAGAAATGAAACACCAATACGAATATAAAGAAAGAAAGAAAGAAAGAAAGAAAAGAAAGAAAGAAAGAAAAGAAAGAAAAAGAAAGAAAAAGAAAGAAAGAAAGAAAGAAAGAAAGAAAGAAAAGAAAGAAAGAAAGAAAAAGAAAGAAAGAAAGAAAGAAAGAAAGAAAGAAAGAAAGAAAGAAAGAAAGAAAGAAAGAAAGAAAGAAAGAAAGAAAGAAAAGAAAGAAAGAAAGAAAGAAAAGAAAGAAAGAAGAAAGAAAGAAAGAAAGAAAGAAAGAAAGAAAGAAAGAAAGAAAGAAAGAAAGAAAGAAAGAAAGAAAGAAAGAAAGAAAGAAAGAAAGAAAGAAAGAAAGAAAGAAAGAAAGAAAGAAACGGTCGAATAAGTAACAAACACATTTGCATGTGTAAACAAATTGCTTTGTTGACATGTTTGATACACGCAATTAATGTCTGCAGCACAACGTGCAATCAGCGGCTGATGACAGAATGTAGAAACAAAACAGCTTTGCATAACCAGAGACTGCTAAACATATCACAGTCAGCACCCAACGACTTTTCAACTCGAGAGACAGCCACGCATCTCACTAAATGCAGCTAAAAAATGCAACTTAAATTATGAAGACGCCAGGTTTGCTTTCATTATTTTATTGTGTGGTACAACTGTTCTCTGTTGTTGTTATTGCCTTCTTCTTCTTGTTCAGGACGCCAACTTTTTGAGTTGTTTCAAGCTTTGTAAGTCCACTGCAGAGTTTATTCTTTATAAATATATTTTTTTGCATTATGATGTTGATAATGCTGGTTTTCATCTGATCCTGTAGAAACTACTTTTCGACGACCTTGAAGATGTAGCTACTTTTATCACTGCTGCTGTACGTTTGAATTTCATTTTTTTTTTTTTTTCAGTAAAATCGTTTTCATATTGGATGTCTTGCTAAATGTTACAGTTACAAATAAGTGTCATCTTAGTGTAACAACAACAAAAGGATTCTTTTCACACCGTATTTATCTTGACTATACGATGTCAGGTTCACATTTGACAGAGTCAGCAATCCATGTGGCCAATATCGAGAAGCCGTCTTTACTTCCCTCAACATTGTCTGTAACTGCACTGTCACTGTGGTATAAACAGTTCACATAAGTGTAGCTAGCTTGGACACCACTGTTTCTGTTGACACGTCTTGGCCATGTACTTCAACCAACCTGCACCAGACAGAGGGCTGTGGAACTTCTAGCAAGCACACACGAAGTTCCCTTTCTAAAAGTTCATTCACATTACAGCGTACAGTATGAATATAATGCTATCTTCGATCAAGCAGTTGACTGCTTTCTCTGGAAGATTTGGTTGTTAAACAGACGTTAAAAAACCGACGGTCCCTTATATCCATGACATCTAGTGACCAAAAAGGTGTTTATGTGTCCAGTGATGCACTATATCCATGATTTCCAGTGACCAATGTGGTGTTTATATGTCTACTAATGCACTTTGATGATATCCAGTGACCACAGTGGTAATTTAGGTGTCAGATGATGCACTATATCGATTATATCCTGCGACCAGTGTGATAATTTATGTATCAACTCATGCACTATATCGATGATCCAGTGAATTATATGGTGTTTAATGTGTATAAAGAGTAGATATTTAGTTGCCACTATGTTACATTCAAATGAACTCAAATAGTGATCCCGTTTCATTTCTTTTTGTTTTCTTGTTTTGACATGGTGAAACATTTTAATCCAAATTTCACTGGATATACATATCTGCAAAGTGTATACCGGAATCCATATTAAACAGATTTATTCATTCACTTTAGATTCCTAACATTACTAAACAAGCACGGAAACGAACTTAATGTAAAAATCTTTCTGTAATCCGACTAACGAATAGTCTTTTTGTGTAAAAATATTTAAAAAAAAATAAAAAAACATTTTTATCCCTGTAGTATTTGCAGATCTAAATTTTAAACTGTATATTTCTGACCGGTTTTGGTGGCAGAATGGGCATGCTGTCAATGATTTTCAACAGTTGGTTGTAGTCAGACATGGGGTTTTGCATTCTCAGATACCTGCCACGAGAGTACAGTTTGAGAGTTGGCAGATCTCGGATCTCTTCCTCTTGGCAAAGCTTCCCCTCTAGGGCGCAGTTGACTGCAGCAAATCCCACATTCTGTTTCTTGACGATGCTTGCAGCTTTGACAAAGTGTGGCTTGGCCAGCTGACTCTGAGCGTTCTTAGGGTCATAGAACATGACCAGGGCCACATCCTGCCCTGACAAATAATGATCGAAGATCTCTTGTTTCAGAATTTTCACGGACTTACTTCCGATGAACGAGTCCTTCTTACCCTTTTTATCTTTTTTATCCCGTCTTTTTTGTGACATTGCGTAGTTGACAAGATGGCTGTGTTTGCTAGGCGACAAGACGCTATCTCTCACATGAAAAGCAATTCACTGAGAATGTCTCCTAGAACCTTTGATTAATCGACATTTGCCTTCGTTGAGATGACCCAGCGATGTTGATTGTTGCACACAAGAGTTCGTGACGAAACACGCATGATTGTGTGACGTGAACGCAGACACGAAGACAGCGCGAAAAGCCTCAAGGTAAATAAACAATTATCATCATCAATTTTCGCTTTTGTCGTTAAGCGTAAGCGTTGCGGGGAGGAATAGTTTGCGATCCATTGCTTAATGGGCAGCAATTGCTACTGTCATTCCCTGTCCATGTAGAAGCTCTTTAATGTCCTCAGTCCATATTCTCCTGGGACGGCCTCTTGCTGTCACCTCAGATCCGTTCATGTATGGCGCCTGCATTGGTAGTTGTTGTGGCGGCATTCTTACTAAATGACCAAACCATCTGATCTTAAATTTGTTTCTATAAAACAGAAAAACGTTCTATGAAACAAAAGACGAAGCACATTTCTGTATTCTAAACAGTTTACACATTTATCGTTAAAAATCTCATTAATATAATAACAGATATGTTTTATTATAGTTTAAGAAAACTTTCTGATTGTTTCTATTGTTTTTTGACACTTTGACTTTTGTAGAGATTTGCCTTCAAATTCATATTAACAATGCTTGGAGTTGTTCTTTATGTTGTCCTTCTAATCGGGTTTTGTAATGCTGAGAGGGGATCGTGGGGAGTCTTGCCATTTACTTAAGGGGGCGCCACCTGAAAAATGTTGAAGACCACTCTAGAGTCAAGAGGATGCCAAGTCGGCGATGAGGAGAGTGGTTGAAACTAAAATAACACCGATAACAATAACAACAACATCTATAACAAAACAAAAAGATTTGTAATAATATTGAAGTATAAAGAAAAGAACTAAGCACGTCCGTGAATCCACACTTTAATTAGTATATAGCGCGCTCTTTGTTCTCTACAAAATTTTTTAAAGGGAAAATATCTTATATTAAATATAAGGGAAACAACAATGTTGAAAAATTACATTATCTTTAGATTCGGTCCCTTTATCTTATCTTGTGGGCGTTGAGTAGCCACGGCGATGATTTACCTGCAGTGTGCCAACAACTCTCTAGCTGAAGTAGCCTAGGGACTGTGCGCTTTTCTTCCAGTGCTGTGCAGTTAAGTTTAGTCTTTAATGGATGTCGGGAAAAAATCTTGCGAAATGAAGTCGGCGTAAAAGGGAATTACCATATTGCCCATAGATTAATAATAATTTATTACAACTTATCCTCGCATAACTGTGTGTGTCGAGGCCGCTCGACAACCATATAGCTGAACACGTTGTTGTGGCATTAGTAGCTGGGAAACACTTTGTGTCACTAGGTGTCATTCCCTCAAGGTGCAGTCCTGGTGGGGTTTAGCTTCCATACCCCCCTTCCCATAGTGGTTCCCCACATGTGACTACAGCACCACCGCTCATGGTGGTTCCTTAGACGTGACTACAGCACCACTGCTCATGGTGGTTCCTTAGACGTGACTACAGCACCACCGCTCTTGGTGGTTCCTCACACGTGACTACAGCACCACCGCTCATGGTGGTTCCTTAGACGTGACTACAGCACCACTGCTCATGGTGGTTCCCCACACGCGACTACAGCACCACCGCTCATGGTGGTTCCTTAGACGTGACTACAGCACCACTGCTCATGGTGGTTCCTTAGACGTGACTACAGCACCACCGCTCATGGTGGTTCCTCACACGTGACTACAGCACCACCGCTCATGGTGGTTCCTTAGACGTGACTACAGCACCACTGCTCATGGTGGTTCCCCACACGCGACTACAGCACCACCGCTCATGGTGGTTCCTTAGACGTGACTACAGCACCACTGCTCATGGTGGTTCCTTAGACGTGACTACAGCACCACCGCTCATGGTGGTTCCCCACACGTGACTACAGCACCACCGCTCATGGTGGTTCCTTAGACGTGACTACAGCACCACTGCTCATGGTGGTTCCTTAGACGTGACTACAGCACCACCGCTCATGGTGGTTCCCCACACGTGACTACAGCACCACCGCTCATGGTAGTTCCCCACACGTGACTACAGCACCACCGCTCATGGTGGTTCCCCACACGCGACTACAGCACCACCGCTCATAGTGGTTCCCCACACGTGACTACAGCTAACACCTGGCTAGTGTTATTGTAACGTGTGCCCCGAAAAAAAAAAACTTCTTTGGAGGTTGAACGGGCTATCTGGAATGTGCCCTGTTGGTCTGCCACCGAGACTGAGGTTTTCCTTGACTTCCATTGGGGTCAACCTTCAGGCAGCAGCAGCAGTAGCCTTCAGGGAACACACTGATCGATCGACTGATACCCGGCTCGCCTGCGTAGCTGGTTAAACCTGACTTCGCGGCGACAGCGTGACGAACTCCTTGTAGTCCGGGTTCACGCAGGGGGTAGGCAAAAAGCCACATTTCTCCCAGATTTACGGTATTTATCATGAAATCAAAGCCCAAGGTTGTCGATATCCATAGTACCTAGTTAAAGGGTTAACAACTCATGGTTTGTGGATAGTTAAAAAAAATCGATCATCCATCGTGCTTTGATTGTTCTATAAGACACTGGACAAGCAGCATGTGCCAGGGCATTCTTACACCCCTAGGATTATGGTATTGACCCCTAGAACTATGGTGTTGACCCCTAGAACTATGGCGTTGACCCATAGAACTATGGTGTTGACCCCTAGGACTATGGTATTGACCCCTAGAACTATGGTGTTGACCCCTAGAACTATGGTGTTGACCCCTAGGACTATGGTGTTGACCCCTAGAACTATGGTGTTGACCCCTAGAACTATGGTGTTGACCCCTAGAACTATGGTGTTGACCCCTAGGACTATGGTGTTGACCCCTAGGACTAAGGTGTTGACCCCTAGGACTATGGTGTTGACCCCTAGGACTATGGTATTGACCCCTAGAACTATGGTGTTGACCCCTAGAACTATGGTGTTGACCTCTAGAACTATGGTGTTGACCTCTAGAACTATGGTGTTGACCCCTAGGACTATGGTGTTGACCCCTAGAACTATGGTGTTGACCCCTAGGACTATGCTGTTGACCCCTATAACTATGGTTTTGACCCCTAGGACTATGGTGTTGACCCCTAGGACTATGGTGTTGACCCCTAGGACTATGGTGTTGACCCCTAGGACTATTGTGTTGACCCCTAGGACTATGGTGTTGACCCCTAGGACTATTGTGTTGTCCGCCTTGGCACCTAGTGTAGCAGTTACCAGTGCCCTAAGTGACACTTCCTTGTAGGCTGAACTAGGTTTAGGTTTAGACGACGGATCAACATCATGGCACAAAGGTAGAAACCCATAAGTGCTCCGCTCTACATTTTTGACTCAAGCCTGAGTCCTAAGTTACCAGCGCAGTGCACGAACTCCGTTGCACCGGCGAGGATTCTGAAATATTTTGGGTAGGTTTTTAGCTGCAAATTGTTCCTGGGAAGCGCCGTTAGGCTACTCTTTTTTTTTATTTCCAACTGCTAAGGGATTTTTTCACGTGCGCAACAATACACACGGGCGTCTGGTCTTACTACCTAGAGACCAGGAGAAATTACTAGAAGTCCACGTGAAAAAAAAATCCTAGCCTTCACCGGGGCTTGAACCCATGACCTCCAGCAGCCCCAGAACTTAGTGTCTGGAACTCGTTTTGTTGGTTTGCCACCCAGTATGAGATTATTGTAGCTTCAGGCGTGCTCAAACGTTCGCATGCCAGATCGGGGGGAGGAGAAGAGAAAAAAGGGGACGGGGGTGGGGGACGACAACAGACTTTATTCTACCTAACATGTGTTGTTTAGATATTCACTGACTTTGAAGCTACCTTACAATTTCATTCCAAAGCTTTTTGTATTGCACTGCTCTCAGTGAAAACAAAACGGATGTCGAAAATACTTTTTCAAAATGTATTTCTTCTGCATCAGATGTCTTTAAAATTTCCTGCTTGTGAAATGTTTGAAATTAAATTGTATGAGTGAAATTGGCGTAACTGAATCCACAATAAGACGATGTTTTTTACTGGGTCATTGAGCATGGATTAAATAAAATATTCTTACTTCGGAAGCATTGCGTGCTGGAGTAAAGAATAGTTATGCTACCTTTACCATTTCACCTTGACTACTCCTATAGTTATTGGTCTAATCACATAGTGTTAATTTGTTCGTAGCTTGAAGACCTCTGTACAAATTTACGAATGTCCAGAACTGTTTGCAGACCCTCATCATTTCACAAGTAAATAAATTCTCGTGAATGAGGATGTGTCCTCAAAACTGACAATGTATGGCAATCCTACACAAGTATGAACATACGCACGAGATAAAAAAAAAAAAAACACGGTACATATCATAAACATTACCGCATCTCACAGAGCGCGAGATTTCGTGTCGGTTGTCCTGTGTTCTATAAATAAATAATATGAATTAATCAAGTATCAGGAAGTGAATTTATCGGATAGAGTTGTCGTGTTGTGTTATTTTTCATCGCTGTAAGCGTTATATATTCCAGGTCGTAAGTGTCCAGCCAGTTCTGTTTTCCACTTTGCTATGGGCCGCCACTGTTTACTTTACAGCGTTGTGCCTTAGCTACTATTCCCCCCACTACTCCCCCTTTCTAACTTCCTCTTTAGGGACCCATCCCAAAATAACACCAGTTCTCAAATAAATAACGGTTGCACAAGAGGCGTAGTTGACAGAGAGAAGCAAATCTAGTTGAACACACACACACACACACACACACACATACACACACACACTTACAACACGCGCACATATCAAACAGTCGCTCACCGACACCTGCCACAAAAGAAAGCTGGACACATTCGTCGCGCCGGCGCGGCCATCGGCACATCATCGGCATCGCCGGCAGCGCAGGACACATCGGCTCCACCATATCAGCCAATCA